TGTTATTATTTTGAATTTAAACTTATTTTTTTGTTTTAAAGCAATTTTTAAAATATATACTTTTTATTGATTTCAGAGAGGAAAGGAGAGGGAAAGACAAACATCGATGATGAGAGAGAATCATTGATCAGCTGCCCTCTACTGGGGATCAAGCGCATGTGCCCTTGACCAGAATTGAACCTGGGACTCTTCAGTCTGCAGGCCAATGCTCTATCCACAGATACTAGCTAGGGCTACACTGTTATTTTTAAAGAGAATTTAAAAAAGAAAAATATATAGTCATTTATATTTATCCATATATCTACCATTTCTGATAACTTTTTCCTCTTCCTGTAGGTCTTAATTATTTTTTATCTTGTATTATTTCCCTTAAACTTAAAGGACATTCTTTCCTATTTCTTATAGTACAAGTGTGTTGGTGACCAATACTCTTAATTTTAGAATATGTTCATGGGTCTAGAACATATTCTGTAGGGTGTCAGCCCTTTAAAATGTATTAAGATTCTAGTTCCTACGCCTTACCAGAGAGAGGGCCGATGGGACACTCGCCCTGGTCTGGGATTGGGGCAAACACTTTGAGGAGCTACGACTGCTGATTTCTAGGAAATGAAAGTGTTGACATGAGCCAACAAGGCCCAACAGGGTGGGCAGAACAGATGGATTAGCAGGGCCAGTGAAGGCTGGTGTTGGCCAGCATGGCTGACTGGAATCATACCTTCTGAAGCTCATTGATTCTACAGCTGGAAAGGACCTTAAAACTAAAGGACATTCTTTCCTATTTCTTTCTTTCTTTAATTTTAAAATTTAATTTTATTTATATTTTATTGCCAAAACCGGTTTGGCTCAGTGGATTGAGAGTCAGCCTGCAGACTGCAAGGTCCCAGGTTTGATTCTGGTCAAGGGCATGTACCTTGGTTATGGGCACATCCCCAGAGGTGAAAACCGCGTGTGGGGAGGTAGCTTTCTCAGAATCACACAGTTCCCCAATGCTAGACTCCCAGGCCCTAGAACACCGGCTTGTCCCTCCTCCGACCCGTTCCCCCCATCTCAGTGCCCCTCCCGGAGGCCAGGCGCCACGGTGCCGACGGTCTGCGCAGCACATTCCCGGGAGCTCATGCGTGTCCCAGGGCAAAGGTGGCCCCTGTTCTACGGAAAGTTCTCGTTCTTCTGCACTAAGGTTACACCCCCGTGGGCAATGACCTTAGGGCATTGCCAACCCTGGAAAAACAAGTGTCAGGAAGCCCTTTTAGAGGGACTCCCCGAACAGACAAACACGGCCTTGGGCCGCCCGGCTCTGGGCACTTAATATTGACCACTTTTTGCCTGGACCGGTTTGGCTCAGTGGATAGAGCGTCGGCCTGCGGACTGAAAAGTCCCGGGTTCGATTCTGGTCAAGGGCATGTACCTTGGTTGCGGGCGCATCCCCAGTAGGAGGTGTGCAAGAGGCAGCTGATCGATGATTCTCTCTCATCGATGTTTCTAACTCTCTATCCCTCTCTCTTCCTCTCTGTGAAAAATCAATAAAATATATATTTAAAAAAAATATTGACCACTTTTTCTGATCGAGCGCCTTTGCTTATCATTGCTTAGCTTTGACTTCCCACCTCTTCTGAGTCACATGTACGCGGGCCCAGGAGTCTGACTGGAATCCCATCTCAAACTTTCTTTGTTCCTTTCTTCATATGTTGGCATATATGATAAAGATGTTCATGGACAATAATTTTGACGCCAAACCTTAGAGAAACTACTAAACATGATCATATAACAATACGGTCATCATAAACAATACAGGGCACATCAGCAATCCAGCCACCCACACGACCCAGTGTGAGGGGTGCAGCCTTGGGGACCTTGGGGCCTGTGGATTCTCTGAGGAGAGCGAGTCAGGGAAGGCCTGGCTCCCTCACAGCTGTATCGGGCACTCAGGGGGCTGTATTTTGGGTTGCACTCCCAGCTAGCAGCAGAGAAAAGTGGGTGCCCCTTTTATAGAATCCTGCACCTCTCCCCAAGGTCATCCCCAAGGCCGACTACAAGGCCTTGGCCCCTCACTGTTATCTTCACCGCCCAGAGGCTTCAGAACCTCTCAGGGCCTGTCTACTGCCTCCCGGGACCCGCCCTCCCTCCAGGAGGAAGTTCTTCCCCCATCCCCTGCCCCTCCCTCCCCAGAAAGTTCTTTAGGGTGTGTGACAGTGACCGGCACCCCCTCCTCACTGCTTCCCCTTCATTTCCCTCTCTGCCTTTCCCTCTCCCACCCTTTATTTTTTCTGTTTAGAAGAACAAGTCTCCCACAACTCACAGAAAGAGAAGTAACATCATGTTCTCAAAGTCACACACTTTATGAATAAACTCCTCTTTTTCTTTTTTTCTTTTAATTTTTAAAAATATATTTTATTGATTTTGTACAGAGAGGAAGGGAGAGAGAGAGAGAGAGCCAGAAACACCCATGAGAGAGAGTCATCGATCAGCTGCCTCCTGCACACCCCCCACTGGGGATGTGCCCGCAACCAAGGTACATGCCCTTGACCGGAATCGAACCCGGGTCCCTTCAGTCCCCAAGTTGACACTCTATCCACTGAGCCACACCGGTTTTGGCTCCTCTTTTGCTTATTTTTCAATCGTAAAAGGCGTCGTCTTCCTTGGAAAGATGAAGTCTGTGCCTGTCTCAGTCAGGGAGAGGGGGACGGGAATTTGGCCGGTGTGCTTTCTTTTTTGTCACACAATTTAGAAAGTGACGGGTGGTCTCTGGTGAGGGCTAGGCCCCAAATGCGGGAGAACAGGAGGCGGGAGGGCACGGGCAGGGGGGGGGGGGTGTTGAGAGAGGCGTTCAGAGTTGATCGAGGTCAGGTGGCCGGTGGCCGCCTGCCTTCAGTCCCAGTGGAGGTGGCCCTGACCTTTCAGCCTTCACCAGAACCCAAAGCTTGCTAGCATTTGGAAGCACCAGCTGTGGGTCTGGCACATTTTATAAGCCTTTTCATTGCCTGCCACCCCGGGCACCCTGAGAATCTGGATTAGCGCTCAGGCTCTCACCCCAGTGCCTGGCTGTAGTTCACTGAGCCCCGGTCAGCCTCCGCCCCCCGCCCCGCCCCGGCCTGTCCTGGGAGGGAGCCTGCATCCTTTCCAACTCTGCCTTCCCATCGCAAACTCTTACCTCCAGCCTCAACTTCCCTGCCCTCCCAGGGCAGTGCTGCCTCAGAGCACTCTGCCCACAGTGACCCCTGCTGGCCCACTGGGGACCTTCCTCTCTGGCACCACAGCTCAGCTGAGAACAACTCCTCTCAAAGATAGGTTTGGACCCCAGCAACTTGAAAAATAAAGCACGAGACAAACAATTGGTTTGGGAGAGCTATGGCCAGGAATTTGCCAAAAAATTCACAAGCAGGACCACCGAGGTTAGCTTATATACGGGGTGCAGAGGTTTGCATTTCCAAACCAAAAGCGACCAAGTGTAAGAGTTTAAGTGGAGCCAAGAGGTAGGAAGGCGGCAAATTAAAAAGATGACCCTTCTCCTGGGCTCCTCCCCAGTGTGGCCTTCTGTCATCTCCTGCACGTCCTCCTCTCTGTGGGGGCTTGTGATCCTGGAACCTTCACCCCAAATGATAATAACAGGGTGGCACGGTCTCCCCTGGCATTAATTCCGGGTTGTTTGTGGATCCAGCTTCTCCAAAGGAGTCCGCCTCCTGATTTCCTAGGAAAGGGTGAGCAGGAATGTCTTTTGGGGAAAAAAAAAAATGGGTGCTGTCCCGGTAGGCCTTGTGCCTTAGGGTGCCTGACAGCTCGGAGCCCCAGAAACACCACAGGGCCGTGGCCCTGACTGCGGGACAGGCCATCTGCGCAGCCTGCTGGAGGCCTTCCGTGGACCACGTCTGCGAGGCTCCCTGTGCGTAGACGTGACCCTGCTGGCGTGTAGCAAGGTCAGAGCCCTGAAGGCCACCTCCAGGGCCACCTCCAAGGCCACCTCCAAGGCCACCTCCAGGGCCACCTCCAAGGCCACCTCCAAGGCCACCTCCAGGGCCACCTCCAAGGCCACCTCCAAGGCCATCCACGGGTACACCCTGAGCTGAGCGAGGAGGGAGGCCTTGGACCGTTTGCTGTTTGGGGCGTGGCCGCGGCTGGGAGGAACGGGAAGGAATGTGCTGTTTTCATCTTCCCGACAGTCCTCCGCTGACAGAAACCATGCCCAGGATCCTGCGCGTGGGGAACTCTATCCTGGGCGCTGCTTTCTAGGCAGAAACAGACGCGGAGACTTCTTATCTAAAACTAATCTCACAGCTGTGAGACGATAGAAACAGCAAAGGGGAAATGTTAGGGGGGAAAAATAGAATATTGGGGGCTAGTTATTGGTTTTGTTGTTGTTGTTTTCTTTTTGAGGCTAGTCAAGTGAAGCACTGGGAGTGGAGAAGGAACAAAGAAATCTGTAACTGGCTGTGATCAATTAGTTGTAAGACACCACTGCACTCGGACCAGCCCCGCCGGGGCTAGCTATTGTTATGGGAAATATTAATCCTGCTTTGTTAACCAGGATCGCCTGGATTAAGGAAAGGACCTTCTGACCTGGCTGGGAATTGTGGGGACCTGGGAGTCAACCTCGGGCCTAGGGGGAGGGGTCATCCTTGGAATGTGGCTCATTCCATTCAAGAACAGCCCGAGACCATGGAAAGAGGAACAACCTTGTTTCCCCCGCCCCAGCCTCGTCCTTCCCCATGCCTGTCCTGCCTGTGTAATCTGTGTCCTACCCTATAAGAGCAGCCAGCTTCTGAGGGGGGCTGCAGAGCAGATTTTTGTGGATGACCTGCTGCTTGGAATCAATGCTCATAGAGGACTCAAGAAAGAAAAAGAAAAAAAAAAAGGGTGCTGTACCTTTAAATTCTGAAAGTGAACTTGGCTCAGGAAGGCCAGCAGTCAAGGTCCAGCCCCTAGAAGAGAGAAGAGCTACAGACTCTCCATCCTCGGTCTTTGCACGGGGACGACCGTGCCAGCCAGCTCGGCAGGCTTCTGGCAGCATGGCGGCGCCGCTCCGGACCCTCCTGCTGGCCCTCGCCCTGGGCCTGGCCCAGCCAGCCGCTGCCCCCCGGAAGCTACTGGTGTTCCTGCTGGATGGTTTCCGCTCGGACTACATCAGCGACGAGGCCCTGGAGTCCCTGCCCGGTCTGAAGGAGATTGTGACCCGGGGGGTGAAAGCGGACTACCTGACCCCCGACTTCCCCACGCTCTCCTATCCCAACTACTACACCCTGATGACCGGTGAGTGCCTGGTCCTCCGCTTGGCAGGGGTGGGGGGGTAGAGGGGGTGAGGAGGGTGCTGGCAATCCAACAGGGCCCCTCAGCGCCTGGCCTCGGAGTCTGATGTGCTTGTTCAGGTCCCCCTGGTCCCCGGGGACCGCCGGAGAAAGACAGGAAGTCTGTGCTCTCGGCCGAGGTTGTTGTTTTCACAGTGCTGTTCTCCGGAAGTTATCCCAAGGACCTGCTCTGGATTCTCAGAGAGTGCAGAGCAGAGGGAGCTGCACGGATGGGTGATTGGAAAAGGGGGCTATTCGGTGTGCAACTCAGAATGCTGGCTAACCCCGTGCTTTCCAAGTTCAACGTTCAAGGGCCCATTTGTCTTCATGAGCCTCATTTCTTCTGCCCCCTCGTCATGGCATTCGGCGTGTTAATCAACGTGCTGGGCTGTGTGAGTTCCACGTGCATTCCTGGGATATTCAGAGGGAATGGCTCCGTCAGGTTGTAAAGTATCACTTAGTGACGCCACTCAGCCCTTTGGCCGTTTTGGGGCAGGTGACATGGTACAGAGAAGGAAAGTTGTGTGCTGTGCTTTAGATTCCCTCTGTTCACCGATAGTATCTGTTATGAAAACCAAGCAGAACAAGCCCGGCCAGCATGGCTCAGTGGTTGAGTGTCGACCTATGAACCAGGAGGTCACGGTTCCATGGTTCCATTCCCGGTCAGGGCACATGCCTGGGTTGCTGGCTCGATCCTATTATCCTTGATGTTTCTATCTCTCTCTTTCTCTCCCTTCTTCTCTGAAATTAAAAAAAAAAAAAAAAATAGGACAGATGCCAGCTAACGCAGACTGGGCCCGGGCGTGGCCTTCCCTCAGGATTGCAGAGGGTCAGCGTGAGTCCATGGTCCTGTCCCGTCTGCTCAGCAGGGACTTTCTGCGCACGCAGTTGGGTTCTGGCTCCCCGTGGGCTTTCCAGTAACCTGTGTGAGGACCAGCGAGCACTCCCAGGAGGAACTGAGCCAGCTGCCGGGGAGGGTGCTGAGGGCGCGCCGTGATGGCTGCGATTGCTGAGCTGGGCCCTTTGCTCTGAGCGCAGGGAGCGCTGTCGGTTATGAGAGCGGGAAGGGGACGAGAACTCCGGATCTCCTCATGGGTCCCCACAGCACAGCTCAGCCGCAGGAGCCTGCAAAGACAATGGACATATCTGACCTCCTGTGTGGGTCCTCTGTGGAGAGACCCATAAAAACGCCATCAAATGAAAGGGGAAGAGACTTTGGAGAAATAGAAACGAAGGCACTGAGACTGGGGGTGGGGGGGGGGATCCAGGCTGTGCTTAAGAACAATGCATTTGTTGGTTTTAAAACGTTTCCTGAGCAGACAAACAGCAGCCTCTCTGAGATGGGGGGAGGGGGGAAGGGGGACAGAGCCCTCTGGTCCCCCCTGGGCGTGCGTGCCCCCTCGCCGGGAAGCAGTGTGCAGGCCGCGGGTCACACATAGATGTCATTGTGTGCCACAGCCCGACCACAGCTCCGTCCCCGGAGGTTCACACCCGCAGACCACCCCCTCCAGCCGCTCCCAGAGCCGCCCGGAGGCCCCATTCATAGCTGCCACGTGCAGTGCCCGGTCTCCGTGGAGAGCGAACAGAATCCATCTCAGAAAGCCAGGCCCCGGAGTCAAAGGGCCATTGCCGTCTGCACAGAGGGATCGGGCTGGCGACACGAGCTTTTGTTGGTGGGACTCCCTTTCCTGACATTGGCACCAGGAGTGATTGGCACCGAGCCCCGCCACGCAGAGACACGCCTCGGGTTCAGGGATGGCTCTTGTCACGCGTCCTTTCTGTGGGGGGCCGGGCAGCGCCCCAAAGTGCTTGGCAAATATCTCACCTTCACTTCTTTTTTAATAATAAAAAAAAAAAATTCCTTATTGTTGAAAGTATTACATATGTCCCCCTTTCCCTCATTAACCCCCTCTAGCCAGCCCCATCCCCTCCCCAGGCCTTCAGCACCCCATTGTCTGTGTCCATCTATGCATTCAAGGTCTTTGGCTGATTACCTCCCACCCACCACCCCTCCCCCACCTTCCCTCCAAGATTCTGCACTCTGTTCCATGCTTCCATGTCTCAGGATCCACTCCGTTCATCAGTTTATTTTGTTACTTAGATTCTGCATATGAGTGTGATCATGTGATATTTATCTTTCTCTGACTGACTTATTTCACTTAGCATGATACTCTCCAGGTCCCTCCATGCTGTCTCAAAGGGTAAAATATTCTTCTTTTTTACTGCTGCATAGCATTCCATGGTATAAATGTGTTACAGCTTTTTTATGCACTGGTCTACTGATGGGCACTTGGGCTGTTTCCAGATCTTAACTACTGTAAATTGTGCTGCTATGAATACAGGGGTGCATAATTCTTTCTGATTGGTGCTTCTGGTTTCTTAGGGTATATTTCTGGAATTGGGATCAATGGGAGTTCCATTTTTGGATTTTTGAGGACATTCCATACTGTCTTCCACAGTGGCTGCATATTTGTATTCCCACCAGCAGTGTACCAGGGTTCCCTTTTCTTCGCATCCTTGCCAGCACTTGTCATTGGTCGATTTGTTGATGGTAGCCATTCTGACAGGTGTGAGATGGTACCTCGTTGTCATTTTTTTTTCATCTCTGATGATCAGTGACTTTGAGCATGTTTTATGTCTCTTGGCCATTTGTATGTCTTCTTTGGAAAATTGTCTACTTAGGTCCTTTGCTCATTTTTAAATTGAATTGCTTGTCTTTTTGTTAATTTGTATTGAGTTCATTATATATTTTGGATATTGACCTTTATAGGATGTATCATTGCCAAATATGTTCTCCCATGCAGTGGGCTCCCTTTTCATTTTGCTGATTGTTTCTTTTGCTGTGCAGAAGCTTTTTATTTTGACGTAGCCCCATTTGTTTATTTTCTCCTCAGGAGATGTATCTGTAAACATATTGCTATGAGAGATGTCTGAGATTTCGCTGCCTATGTTTTCTTCTAGGATTTTTATGGTTTCACGACTTACATTTAAGTCTTTCATCTATTTTGAGTTTATTCTTGTGTATGGTGTACGTTGGTCTAGTTTCTCTCTTTTTTAAAATATATTTTATTGATTTTTTTTACAGAGAGGAAGGGAGAGAGAGTCAGAAACATTGATCCGCTGCCTCCTGCACACCCCTTACTGGGGATGTGCCTGCAACCAACGTACATGCCCTTGACCAGAATCGAACCTGGGACCTTTTAGTCCGCAGGCCGATGCTCTATTCACTGAGCCAAACCGATTTCGGCTAGTTTATCTTTTTTTTTTTTTTCCTTTATATATCTGTCCAGTTTTCCCAACACCATTTATTAAAGAGACTCTCTTGACTCCATTGTATGCTCATGCCTCCTTTGTCAAATATTAATTGAGCTTGGATTGATTGCTGGGTTTCACCTTCATTTCCAAACTGCCGTTAGCCCCAGGAAGCTCTATTTAGATGGTAACATGTGTATTCTGATGGGAAAGACTGCGCGATGTTTAGGTCGGCTTCCCCCCTTTCCTAGAAGCAATATTAACACAGGATGTGTCTAGCAAGGCTCATGTTCATGTGCGGATGATTCTGGGCAGGGCTTTCTGGTACCCACTGAGGGAGCAAAGGCCGGAGAGGCCAGGCTGTGAGGCTGGTGTCGGCTCTGCTGCCCTGGAACTGACTCAGGGCTAAGTGCAGACTCTTTCCCCCAACACTTATGCTTATTTCTCTACCTGATGTTGAAAAATTCCTCTTTTCTTTTTTATGTAAGGAAGAATATAACCATGGGGAATTATACTTGAACTTATGGTTTGAGCATTGGAGCATTTTATGAACCAACAAAAGAGTCATGTTGATGCTTTAGGCTCTGAAAGGGAGGCTGGTTCAGGATTCCCCAGGATTCGTAGGAATTATTGCCCATAAGACACAAGGCCCTGGTGTTCTTCTCTTAGTGGGAGGAGGAGGCCTGAGTTCTTGGAAAGAGCCTTGGCCTTGGAACTGGAAGAGCTTGGATTGAGTCCTCTCAGTATCTGGGGGATGCGGGAAGACTTGCACTGTCTCAGTTTCCCCAGCTCTCAGGTTGCCACCAGATGCAGACTTGAACACGAGCCATACAGAGGGATTTAAGTAGAGTTTCACAGAGGGAACTAGAACAAGTTAGGATGGCACGTCTTGGTAGGCCTACATATAAGGAAGCGAATGTCTGAAACTCCTGGGAAAGAGAATTTCATGGGAAGGAAGCCACGTGGCCAGTGATGGGAAATGAACAGGATGTGGAAGGAAGCTCAGAAATCGAGCCCAGTCATTGACATAATGCCCCTGCAGCTGATTTTATGTTCTCCTTCAAGTTATATGTGTATCGGGATACATGTGCACAAAATAGTGATTGGGAAAATAGTGATCGGAAAAATCCATCAAACCATTGACTCCTGGGGACACAGGATCCTAAAAGAGGGCCTTTTACCAGGAAGGTTAAAGGGAAACACCTCAACTACCTGGTAATATTGTAAAATGAATGACAAAGACTAATGTGTTGAATTCCCAATCCCTGAGACCTCTGAGTGTTACCATGTTTAAAGGTAAGGTTTTTAGCCCAGCAGGCATGGCTCAGTGGTTGAATATTGACCTATGAACCAGAAAGTCATGGTTCAATTCCCTGTACGGCATGTGCCTGGGTTGTAGGCTTGATCCCCAGTGTGGGGTGTGCAGGAGGCAGCCAGCCTGTCAATGATTCTCTTTCATCATTGATGTTTCTATTTCTCTTTCCCTCTCGTTTCCTCTCTGAAATCAATAAAAATGTATTAAAAAAAAAAAAAAGATTAGGCCTTTGAGAGGTGATTAAGTTAAAACCAGGCCCTCGAGTGGAGCCCTATTAGGAAGAGGAGAGAACTGGCCACCTGAGGACACCGCGAGAGGCTGCCGTCCGTAAGCCACGGAGTGAGGTCTCGGCAGGAACCCAACCTGCCGACACTTTGGTCTTGGACTTCCAGCCTCCA